ATAAAATATCGAAAAAAGAAGTGATAAGATTACTAGTATGAAAAAAATTAAGTACCTGCATATATATACATACATAAGTATATTTTGTTTTGCTAGAACAAGTAAAACGGTTGGTCGTTATAGCCGATGAATATCGATATAAACTTTATCAATATTCATTTGCTTTAAGTCGTTTAAAGCGGTATTTCGCTATATCCGATGTTGTTATAGGCGGGTTGTTTATCAAAGGGTTTATATAGGTTTTCAGTCGGGACCTTGCCAATTGGTCGTAATAACCGACACGTCGTTATAAACGATGTCGTTATATTCGGTTTTGACTGTACCTCTTCTCCATAGCGGAATCCGGCCATTTTTGCTTGAAGTGATCTATGCAAGTCACCTCGATCTTACCAGCAAAACAAAGTGACATAACACTACCTTTTGGTGGTGTTGAATTTCTGTTGGTGAGGTTAGGTTAGGTTCGGTTAGGTTAGGGGTCCTTGAGCGATGATAGAGGTATTTAGACAGGCGAGTCGAGAATGGCTGGAGCGGTATACTTTTATGCTGCACGGATAATGGAGTCTGCAGTGCTATTCTGTAAAATTTTCACGCCCGGATCCAATGTGGATACGCGTGGTTCGATATAAATCCGCGCGTATCCACATCGGATCCGCGCGTGAAAATTGTATAGAATAGCACTGCTGTTCAGAGAATCTTTTTCTGCGTTCTGTGAGTCTAATGATAAAATATAAGATACGACAGAATAATATGCCACTCCAATAATCCTCATCTGGCCGACCTGAACAAAATTCCTTACTTGCCTCATGGAGCCCTATAAACCATACTAAATTACAAGGCCTTAATCATCATAATATGAAAAAAAAGGGTTCATTTTGTTGTTTGTTTCTATATTATCATGGCTATTATTTTAGTTAATCTAAATAAAAATATGTAACAAATATTTGTTATTTCAAATATCCAAGTATTTTATAAAAAGTATAAACTTATATAAGGATATTTGAAATACATAATATACTGATAATAATATATTGTACATAATAATAATACAGATGTTTCAACGTCTATGTTTATTTAATTGTGTGAACAATACACTTCTTTCGATTTGATTAAATTTACCCACTTTTTTGGGGAATGCGGCCTAACCTGGTATGAAGCTTGCACACCGAAAAAAAAAATAGTGAGATTTTGCTGACATTACGCGAGTGACATGTGTAAGAATTGCGGGTTTTTTTTCGCATCGCACACAAGTATATAATACCCGGTCTGTTTTTATTATCACAGTGTTTACTAGGTGACGCTCTGTCTAGAGAGTAAATAATGAGTCTCAAAGATATCGATGTCCTTTTCCGAATTTCGTTTGCGCTCGCGCCACATTGAAAAAATGGCGCTTGAAACGGTAAGGTGAAACTTGCAACAGTGCCAAAATATCGGGGACTCGCAAAAAACAAGTCACAACCCGCGAATTACGATAATGTTATAGTGACCATGAATGTTTAAAACAATATAATGTGGAAATATGGATGATGACTAATTTTTTTTTCTTCGTTTATCAGGTAGTTTATCAAAAAGTATTGGACACGTATTTTTTCTTTTTTCACATAATGTAAACATTGCAGAGATATATTGATTTGAAAAGTCGCATGACGTCACATTTTGATACAATTTTCACTTAAAAGTGACGTCACGAGCCCCTACTCCCAAACTTTGACGCGCTATAACTTTGTCATTTTTTGGTTGATTGCCCAAAGAAAAAATACATGTCCATTATTTTTTGATCATCTAACTGACGGACTAAAAAGAATTTCGTTTACCGTATCCCGTCATCACCCCCATTGTCTGCTTTGCCTTCCCACTTAAAAGTTTATCCAAAACACCTTTTATCTCTTTTCATAAGATCGTTAAGGAAATACGGATGTTATAATTATTAACATAGGCATTTGCCCTTTCCGTTTGACCTGAGCAAGGGGAACCGTTCTTTCTTAAACGAATAAATAAACACATCTGAGTCACCGTGACCCTTCCGACTTCCAAATAAGTCAGTGTGGCAGGCGGGCAACGACCCCACCTGATTGGCCAAAACTTTTAGATGGCATTATTCTACTTTCAAGGTTGCTTAGATCGAGTTTTATTCTTTATGATGGTGAGACACAACTTTTTGGTGGAAAAGTGAAATGCCATTTTATTGTAAGTATTCTATATTCTCTGTCTGCTCAGGTGTTCCCTCCTTCTTACAACCTGGGATCCTTTAAAAGAGGCGTGAAGAAGCAACATGCAGGCCGGCAAGGTGAGGATGGTTGGTGTGGCAGGTAGAACTGCTTTACCAGTTATCTTCACATCTGGACCTTACCATCACTTAATATCAGGTGGGGTGTGGTCAATTGTCGGACCTATCTATAAAAAAACATTTTTTTTTATTTCCCGATCCCGCCAAAAAGTTTAAATTTAAACAAAATTTTATAAGAATATTTTTTTGTAAAAGTATATTCTTTAGAATTAGGTTGCCATGTTTTTTTACGTACATTAATTAAAGTATGCAACTTTATTTTTTTTATATCATTAACACAAATGAGAGTCTACATTTTCTTTTTGTAAAAAAAAAATTGTAGAAACTGTGAGAAATCCCCGAATTGATAAATTAATGTTTCTCAAATGGGCAATAACATTGATTCATCATTAAAAAAATTGCAACTTCTACTGACTCACACTGATTATTCGATTATAAATTGGAAGCAGAATTGTATTATAGAATGGAACTTAATTCTAGAATACAATTCTGCTTTGGGGTTTTCTCATATTTTCTACAGTTTTTTTTTACAAAAAGAATTAAGTTCCATTCTAGAATACAATTATTAAAATATCACCTTTTATTCACGTTTACACTAAGGTCGAAGGTGATATTATGTTTAAATAAACAAGAAGTAGGTACAATGGCTGTTCGATGGCGCATATGGTTACCCCGTTCGGCTGCGATCGTCGAAATTCAGCAACTATCACAGCGCCCTCTACGTATATAAAGAAAGAAAGAAAGAAAAACATTTATTGACGACATACATTAACAATTACAATAAATACACAACAAACATAAAACAAAAGGTACATCGTCAACTAGGCCCCACGTCAGCATAATGTTGCTACGGCAAAAATAGGATTGCCGCTGCAACGCTGATATTCTGGAGGGACCTAATTTGGACATAAATATACTCTGGGACACTATTTTCTCCAGCGATTGTTCTCCTTATCTCTAACCTTCATGCTCATAACAGTTCCCGAATCAAAGGAAGTGGATAAATAAGAAGATGCAAACTGACTGCAAATCCACTTCCTTTTCAAAACGCATATTGTCTATGGGCAGTACATGCACACATTTAGCATATTGCTCGTTCGGCGCCTTCATTAACCAAATAACCAAACGCACATGCGAAATGCTTTGAACGAAACTCATTGACGTTCGTTCGCGTTGGACCCAAAATGTAACACGGAACGAATTCGTACGCACTCGATTTTCAATCGTATTTATTTCTTGTTACTATTGATTTTGCTTTAGCGCCAATCGGAAAATTCAGTTTTCGTATATGAATGGGCTTTGTGAGTGGCATTCGCTTTATTCATTCATGAATTCGGACGCGCAGAGCATTAGAATCATTTTTAGCCTTTTCTTTGGTGCTCGTGAAATATTGTTTATTTGATGTCTATATTGTGTAACAGTTTCGTCACGTTATTAATGCGTTCTTTGTTGTTTCGCTTGCAGTTTGTCTTTAGAAACAATAATGTAATACACAATTTCTATCAATTATTAGTAGTAGTAGTTGCCGCTAATAAAATTGCAATTATACTTATTGAAAATAATAATAATATAGGACAGGTGATTTTTTGTACGCTTCGTACGATGACATCTTTTTTATACGCTTAAATAATTATATTAGATAAGAACTAAATTGTAAGTAGATGCAGGGGCGGACTTTTTCCGATTTGCACTCCCCCCCCCCCCCCTAGAATTGGTAAATCTGCCACCCCTCAAAGCTTTTTTACAGTTTAAAAAAGAAAATCGTATTCTTATAAAAACAGTAGATTCATGTAGAAAAAATAGAAGAACAGGAGATCTCCTGTAAAATCGGGAGACCTGGCCACCCTGGTAATATGCTTAAATATTTTCTTACATACAGTAAAAATTACTTAGTAGGTACATAAGCATGTCCGAGTTTAGGTACTCATTAAAAGCTTATCGCACAAGTTCAAATATGCTATTTGAAATCGAGACCTGGTTCTGGAAAATGACAAAGTAATGACAGAGCTCGGGTATAGCGGTCCGATTAGATGGCATGCATGTGTGTTTCTGCGCAAGATCATTGATCTAGGGCTGACTATTGTTTTGATTAGTCACTTTTGTAATTTATTAGTTACACTATGTGTGACTGATGTTAATATTTATTATCTGTTCTGGCTGTATGATATATGTACTTCGATTCTAAATTTAAAAATGGATTCTTAACATTTTTTACGAAAAAATGCCAAAGCTTTTCAGCCAATTGCAATAGTCAAGCTCCAGGATGAGATAGACTTATTTAGAGATTTGTTGTCAAAATATTATTGATTTAGATTTTAATAACAACCGTTGTTAAGAGACAGAACCAGATTATCAATAGGTACATTTCTGGAGGTTGATTATTGAAACTTACCATAAGTCGTACTTGTAGGCAGACATGAAAGCTTCCGTACTTTTGTCCAAAAAATTTACACACCCAGAAATTTAAAAACCTACAAACTATTGTTTATGAAGTAGGAAATTACATTAAACTTATAGATTTGCCTTTGCATTTGAAAACATTTATATCTTACTGATTTTTCATATTCAACCTTTCCTGTATATGTGTACCTATTTAACTTCATTCAATGCCGGAAAAACTATTATTATTTATTTTTACCTTGCTAATAATTGTTTTTTCCGCCTCGGCTATATCATAGTTATCAGGCGATCTTGACCAAAGCGCAGGTTCGTAAAATGTGACCTTTTATTTTACAATCAAGTGAATGCGAATTATGCTCACTCGTTATTTAAATTTAATAGACCTTCTAGCTTCACTCTCTACTAATCTGAAGATTGGAAGCCCTGGAACATTTATCTAATGCACAGTGCATTGCTTTTAGTATGGTTACGCCACGCGCCGGCGCTCCACAGAAATAACGTAGAGAATATCGGTCACACAGACTCCGCACCGAATGAACGCAGAACGAGTCGATTAATTGCTGTTGTGCGCCGGGCGCAGCACTATCGCGCCGGACGGGCACCGCGCGGACGCTTCCTCCTTGAAAAAATTCGGGGGAAAAGCGCGCGAACAAACCTCAACCGATTGTAGCCGTCGCGCGGCGGATATTCCATTTTCAAAAGTTTCTTTTTTTTCCGGTCCTTTCTTTTTGGTTGTTTCGAATTTATTGCACCGTGTTTGTAGTGTATTTTTTTTAAACAAAAAAGTTACTGTTCTACTTTCAAATGAAATTGTTGTGATCGGCAAAAATATCGCGGAGGTCACAAACTTTGGAGATACGCCCGTGCGTCGTTTTTATTAAGGAACGTTGATAAGTAAACGCGGTCGAGTGCAAATGTCGCCGGCAGATAGCAGACAGTCGACAGTGTATTGCTCTAATGAGTTTTAGAACGGTGTAGCGCGTACGATGCTCGCGTCAAACCTTGTCCCTTCGCGGAACGCAGTGATTCATACACCGGTTATCGTTGTTTGACGGAGAGCACAATGTGCGAAGTGACAAGTTGGATTCCGACCGCAGTCGCGGATACATTGCGGGCGGAGGAACGCTCCGCACAGCCGGTGATCGCTTGGCTCACGTTCATCAGGGCTTCCATTGAAGAGTACGACCCTCTTATATCAGTACGCCCGCAGTCGCCCGACACAGAGAGCTCGGAGACCTCCAGTGATTCCCCAGACAGTGCGTTCGATGAAATCCTCTCGCAACTCGGCAAAGAGATATACAAACTCGAAGAGTTCCAAAACTATCTTTCACCAGAAGAGAAAGAAGTGTCTTTGAGCATTCTAAACATATTCGACGAGTGTTTGGAAGGCATGAGCGACGTCAAAGAGGTAAACAGTGAAATTAAAACGGCATGCATCGTGGAGTTAGTGAACGGCATGGAGGAGTGCAGTGATGGTGAATCGAGCTTATCAGACGTATCGTTCGTGACTAGCACTCCCGTTCGGAGTGCGAAAGATGGCGATTCCCTTACCGATAAGGGCGAAAGTCCTGTGAATGTAAGTGAAGTGCGTTACGTGCCACCGGTGCCGCCGCGGAGGACTTTTCCCAACATTCCGTCCCCTTCCTCCTCGATTTACAGCAATGTGGAAGTGAAAAGTGCGAATACAAAGTGCAATAAAATCGACACCGACAGCGACTCGGAGAGCACGTGTTGGAGTTACAAAGAGTGCAGTACAGACACGGAGACCGACGCGAAAGACGCATACGCCGCGATGTGGTGTCAATCCAGCGGTTTCCACAACTCCGACGAGATCCTAAGGCGGGTGTTGACACAGCACTACGCGCGCGTTTCACGGCTGTCGTTTCACACAGCTAATGACTTTACGCCGGCGACCTACCGTGTTTACTCGCTGCAAGAGGTGGGAGACAGGTGTGACATGCCTGTCGCGTCGCCAGTCGCCAACATGACGGCGGGCCGGCCTGCCGACGACGGATATGAGCCCGTGCGCGATGCGATCACAGACGAAAACATTTACGAGGAGATCGAGTATGGGTGTAGCTTCACGGACGAAGGGTGTTCGTGCGGAGGTAGTGTCGAAGTGGAGAGTTGTTCCATGAGTGCCAGTTCTGAAGGTGTGGGGAGGGAGAGCCCTTTGTACGCGAACATGAGGGACCTCGACGCGTACGCTATCACGCCGGACGTGATTTACTGGAAGAACATGCTGCTGGATCCATTCTACAACGACGACGAGGAAGATGAGGTCAGTCCCTGTCTATTTTTGTTTACATTATGCCATCCTTATACAATAAACGAAATGTTCTCCCATTATAATACTATGCGGAATAAACATCGGTTACAAGTCATGAAAGTCAACGAAAAAGTTATTTTTTGTCTATAGATACTTGCTACTATAAATAATTTATTTCTACCATGTTAGAATTAGTATGAAACTGTGTGCTTCAATGACAGAAAAAGACGATGAAAAAAAACAGTGACCGATCCATAGACTATACACAAAACTTTCAAAATTGGAACTGAAAAGCGCGCGTAAGTTTTCGCGCCAAAGTTTTAGAGTCGCGTTTGAATTGCAAATCAACAATGTATTGATTGAGGAGTCGTATTTTGCATATTGCTACTTCATTACGAGGGATATGGTGATGTCAGTTTAGCATTAGGTTTCCTGTTAGGCTCACCAACGTCTCTATATATGTACGGACGCCCAGAAGAATAACATTAAAATGTTATGCGTCATTTAATTTTAATTAAATATAAGATTTGTGTTTAGCTCATTAAGTGAGTAATGGTTTGAGAGAATCGCTTTATCACTATAAGGCGAGTAAGGTTGACATCATTAAAAGTTTAGTAATAAACAGATTGTATTTAAAAAACGATATATTTTAATGAGTAAGTATTATTTTTTAATTACCTACTTTATTATTCTAAGTTCGGAGCATTAAATATTGCATTAACAAATTTTTCTTTCCATGAAATGCTGACGTCACCAGTACCCTTAGTACGAGTTTTACAATTACGAAAACTATGATAGTTTTCATGAGCTCGCACTCGTACTAAGGGTACTGATTTTATTGTTTTCGTTTCAATACTAATAAACTATGTTTAAATTCTATAATTGAATCGTTTGCGTCTTCTTAAAAATTAAGAATATTTGGTTACTTTGCACCAAAATGGACATAGAAACATAATTTACAATTACAAAAACTATGATAGTTTTCGTGAGCTCAAACTCGTACCCTAAAAAAACATCTGTACCCTTAGTACAAATGTTTTTTTGATGAGATGAGTGTAAAAGCAATGTAAGACAGTCAAAAACAATAAAATCTCTGTTAACATTATGTGAGCCTTTTACAAATTATTACTACTGCAATAAGACTAATTGATTGTACGAACAACCATGAAACAAGACGTATAGACACGCCATAAGTCCACGCTACTTATTTTATACTTTCTGTACAGATCCCACAATAAAAAATGAAAAGGGTTTCCTTTTTTAGATAAAATAAAAAACCAAATGACTTTGAAAAAACCAATGACTGACCGGAAAGGACCGGATTCATATTGGTACAACGCCATCTAGTGGCAAATGTTATAATTACTATTCGTATATATATTTTTAATGCTTATTCGAACACTTTCTAAAATAAAAACACACATACACACATTTGTTTCTTAGGTTTTCACGCACATCACTCATTAAATAAAACTAGAAACGTCAATAAATAAATACACATACACACACTAATTATTATTATCTATCAATATATATTGTTTAATGAGTGATTCTATTCTTCAATAGATTGTTAATTAAGTGATTGCTCGATGTCAATATCAATAATGCAAGTCTTTTACCACGAAATTTTTGTGTTGATGAATAATAAATAAATATTACCAACACTCTCACCAATTAGCCTAACCCCAAAGTAAGCACTGTAGGCTTGTGTTATGGGATGCTAGGGTAACGGATATAATGCATATATTGTACATATATAAGTATATTTATATAGAAATACATATTAAACATCCATGACTGGAGTAAAAATGCTCGTATTCATCACACAAACATCTGCCACCGGGATTCGAACCCGGGACCATGTCGAATCGGCGACACCATGAAACCCGGAGTACAAACAACACGGCCACGGAGGTCGTCGAACAATTTAGTTTTAATAGTGAAGAATCCCTTGAATCGTCTTTTTTCGCAAATTTTACTAATCACTTGGCTATATACTCGTACTTGAAACTAGCTTTAGGTCGGAAAAACACTTGATTACGTTCCTTACATTTAAATAAATAAGAAATACTAAAACAGTTATATTTTTAAATCTAAAGAAAAGTTTTACTAGAAAACACGCGGTCCACGTGGACCAGGCAGCGGGCGGGACTCGAACCCGCACCCTTCGCAATCCGGGCGAATGCACTGACCAATTATGCTACCACGGCCCTGATGGCCGCGTCGAAATTTTCCTAGCCTTAAACTGTAGGTAACCCACAATGTCAAATGAATACTTTTTCAAGTATTAAACATCTGAAAGAAGAAATATCAATTATAGTTTTTCTAGTAAAACTTTTCTTTAGATTTAAACATCTAGCAGTTAAATGCTTAAAAATCAATAAAAACAGTTATATTTTTTTATTTTTAAGCATGTAACTGCTTTATGTTTAAATAGAACGGTAGTTAGCGATGCGTTTTGTGTCGGTTCTGCTGCTAGATGTGCTAACTGGTGACCTCCGTGGCCGGGTGGTTTATACGCCTGGTTTCATGGTGTCGCCGACTCGAGAGGTCCCAGGTTCGAATACCGGTAGGGACAGATGTTTGTGTGATGAATACGAGCATTTGTACTCCAGTCATGAATGTTTAATATGTATTTCTAACTAAACTAACACAAGCCTTACAGCGCTTACTCTGGTGTGTGTGTTGGAAATATTTATTATTATTGTTATTACTACAATGTCTGCTAGTTTTAGCTTCATTGCGCAAAATTACAGTCATATTAAATCACAAATTCATAGTAGTTCATAGTAGTACTACTAAGTCTTATTACAAAATATTATTTATTATAAAATTTCCTTTAACTGTTTGCTGATAAATCCTAAATTAGGTACCTATTTACTTATTGATTTGTTAGTCATCGATAAATCAAACAATAGTGGGGATTGCCCTAAATATATATACTAATTTAGTTAATTGTGACACAGTCAACAAATCAACAGTTGGATTTAGTGATTGTGGTTTTTATTGAACTAAATGTGGGTTTAACGAACGTTGAAGTGTAATTGCATATGACCTCAGCGATAGTCGGTACTTAAGTAGAACGAAATAGTACTTATATTATGTTATTTTTTCTCTTGAAACGGTAAATTATCAAGAATTACGCATTTGGCTGGTCAGTTTGTTTGCAGTTTTAACATTTATTCAAGCTCAGTGATACGATAACAGTAAGTTACCTTATTGTATTATCTGCCTTGTAAATATTAAGTTAACTTCTTAAAATGTAATTATAATAATGGAGGTAATTTAATAATTTAACTGAAGAACAAATAGTAAGATGTTTATAACTAAAAACCTTAAAATATATAATAACTAAAATACATTATTAAAAGGAGTCCCTTTAAGCTAGGTTCCAAAGATACTGGCAACGTTCCCCCTTTGAAAAGCTAGACTAATTCTTTGTCCGAGGTAGCTGCCAGCTCTTCGGTCTCCTGTGATGTCGACCAACCTTAAAACTTTTAACTTCTTAAATAACAACAACGATCACATTCTGAAATAATAGTTAAGCTCAATATTTTTGTTACATCACTATCTTTCTATATCGATTGTTTGAAAGCAAAAAGTGATTGAATCGCAGAGAAATGTGCAAATGAAAGAAAGAAAGAAAATATAAAACGAAAAATAATTTTATTTGAGACAAAGCAACAGTAAAAGAATATATAAACAAAACACACACATCTGAATTTTTGGAGTTTACTCTTTAAGAATCGATTTGCATATATAAGGGGCACGGTATGAGAAAAATGTGAGGAGTAAAATCTATCGATGAATGACCTCGTTACGTTTTTGGTGCTCATCCTATGTCGCGCAACTTTGACAAACAAAGATGACGGATTGAGATTAATACAATTTTTAAAATCTGAACTGAATTTAGATATTGTTTCTGATAGAGCAATGGGGACAACGAGGTATGGTACAACCATTGATGCGGTATTTTCAAGATTCGTGAACCACGTATCTTCGAACGTCCATGTGTCTTATTTTAGTTACCATAAACCACTTGTCACTGTAATTAATAATGCAGACAGTGTTGATTTAATTAATATTTAAAAAATGATAATAGTCTGATAATAATAATTACATAATTTATCAATATTCCTAATGATATATTTATGCACATCTGAAATTGACTATTGTAAAAAGTTTAATGTAAAATATTTCGCCGATTAGTTATAATAAATGTATATGAAATGAGTAAATATATATTTATATATGTATACTAGCTGACCCAGCGAACTTCGTACCGCCCTAAAAAAATAGGGGTTGTCCAGCGGACAAAATTGTGAATCTAAACCATTCTCAGATCCCCTTGAACACACACAAAAAATTTCATCAAAATCGGTCCAGTCGTTTAAGAGAAGTTCAGTGACATACACACTCACAGAAGAATTATATATATAAAGATTATTTTCATTAATTTGTTAATTTACCCTTTCATACAGTATCAATCTTTTTTAAGTTAAATAAACTCTTTTTGCGTCTGGTTAGACTATCGAACTTAAGGAGTAAACTCCAGTCGTGCGTCGGAGCTGACACACACAATTTTTTTGTCTCAAAACTCAGCGTGATGCTGATGTTGCCATCGGTGCTGGTCTTCCGTTGGAACCGGTTCAGTGACGACACGAAACAATAACAGTGGCGGGTTTGCAGTCTCGGCCGCCCTAGGCCCCAATGCCTAGCTACACAATGAAATTACTTTATTGCCAACTTTTATCTTTAGTATTCAGAAATTTAGGAAAAACAATAGTTTTATTTTGCAAGAATAAGGTACATAAGTTGTTACAACTAGTTACCTATTTGCTCTAACATACTCTGCCAACTTAGCATTCTTGGTTATGATAACTTTTACACGAGTGTTATCAACTTTTAACACATACTTGCGAGGTCAATATTTGAATATCTAATTAAACACAATTAATTTGTGCGGAGCTACTTGTTATCGTAAGTACGGGTAGGTAAGGTAGTGTGGGTAA